TTAGTCATAATTTTTATTTAAATTGCGTTAATTTACGTATGCCATTCAGCACAACTTGCACATTTAAACTTTGTCTAGTCAAATTCCTACCTCATTTTTATTTGCATTGATTAATTTGTTTCATTAAGTACAATATGCAGTATACATTGTTGATAACGTACGCATTTAGTGTTATCACGCATAAACAAAATGATAAATTAGCAACAATCCAGAGGATAAAATGCCATGCGTACGACAGAGATGGTGCTGTTTGCACCTTTTCTCAAGACCTCAAAATTTATACCTGCCTGCATATCTATATATATATTATCTTTGATTTCCAGTGACATTTTTTCCAAGGACTTGATAAAATTCGGACTTTTTTCGAAAGTTTTTATTTCCAGGTTTTTTTTCAGAAACTTTTTTCCCCGGGACTTTCTTACATAGATTCGGGGGGAGGGGAGGGTACCAAATGAAAAAAAAATATTTTTAGTCAATTGATAAAAATTATTCTTAGTCACATCTAACAAGATTCTAAGCTGAAGAGAATATGAGCATTACAGTCAGTCCACTATTTTGTAGTGACCCCTGTATAAACGTATATCAGGTTCCGAGCTTAAAGAAGAAGGTTTACAAAGATATAAGCGAGGGTTGTTCAGCTAACTGTCAGGTAAATAATTGATCGATTGATTGATTGATTGATTGGTTGATTAATTGATAACGTTCCAGATTAAAGGGACTGACAACGTGGATTTCTATTAAAAGAATAATATGTTCAATCAACAACAGTATATATATATACTCTTAGCAAAGTTGATGAAGGTTGATCCACAAAATTATGTTTTAAGAGAATGCTTGTTTTCTCATTGTTGTTGAGATAAATGTGTAAAGGGACCGTTGTGAATCAGACATTTCCTTCTTGACTTGAGTACAGTTAAGAATACACTTACTTCAACAGTTCCTTTTATCATTAGAAAAGTGACTTTTTTAAACTATAAAAGATGTTTATTTATTTTGTTTTGAAATTCTTAAATTTTAGAATGGAGGTTGGAAGGATTTGCTTACAAAGATAATGATTGAAAAATGGAAAAGTGAAGAAAGAAAAGAAATTGTTGGAGAAGAATGGAGGAAAATATCAAGGATTTTAGACAGGTCAATATAACATAATGATATTAAATAAATATCGTAAATGAGAATTATGTTTTAAATGACGGGAAATCTAATGAAACAGTGAAGTTTGAACGTTTATGTTGCAAAGTAATTGATGACTAGCTCACGCATCAAAGAAATTGAGTCTTTGCCACAAAATCTGATTTTCAAATTGCTATATCTTCGCAATCCCATGATGTATACCTTATATATTCATATCAGATAAAGTCTAAAATATCAAAGGTTTGCATGTTGCAAAGATTTAGGGATTAGAAAATTGGAGTTTGTCGCAAAGCTTAAATTCTTTTAATAAATATTTAGGTTTCTTTTGATTCTGTTCACCATACTCTCCTTGATAAATACAATATTCTGTATCTTCAAGTCTCCACACTTTCCAGAGATAGATCAGCCCAATATAGAGAGTAGAGCTAGTAACCAGGATATACATCAACATATGCAATAGATATTTCAATCGTAAATATCTCATTTTTTCTTTGTAAATCAACATGTTTTGTATGTAGATCTTTTTTCTTCTTGGTTATGTTAATCATATTTATATTTAAAAAAGTAATTTTATACGAAAAATACATAGATACAATATTTCCAGGTTTTAAATCTTAAAATAATAAATTGAAGAACAAATTTAGTTTGTAAAGATTATATTCTGTTTAATTCTTATGTTTAATTTTTCCCTGTTTATCTGTTATGTTTTCTGATCTTTAAGTAAAGCTTATCAAATTATGTGCATATTAAGAACCCAGCGGAAAACTTCTACATCTTGGTATTTTAAAAGAAATGAGATCACAACATCGTAGCAGCAATTTTACATTTTCCTTCAGTCTAGTTCACAGTGAGTACAGGAACATGACTGCCAAGAAATATATAGACCAGGAACCGCCATATGTGAATGTGATGCTTCAAATCTGTGTACTGCAGTGGGTGGAGATCAAAACAAAGAATTCAGGGGCAATGCATCATTTTTGAGGGAAAAGGGCCCAAGGGGGGAATATGAATATATTACTATAATTGTATTCTACATATTGACCAGAAAGCCAAAAATCATTTGTATTCGCTTTAACTTGATATATTAACTTGTTTTTTGTTGGACTTTAGTCCTTTCCCTTCAACTTCTGTGGGGGCACTGGGTTTATTTACTTTCCTCGGTCCTCCCACAATTTGCGTATATCTGAGCTAGGCGTTCCTGTATATAGTTCCTTGATAACTTCCAACTCTTATTTATTCATCTTTTACATCATCTAGAAAACATTTGTTATCATTATGGCCTTGCAATAAAATGTATTTAAATGTTGCCCAAAATGCCTAATCAAAATGACAGTTTATTAAATGCTTTTAAATTTATAGACATTAATGTGTAATGAAAATGGCCAAAAAATCTTTCCATAAAACTACCTACCTACTAAAAAGCCTTCATTTCGTCCAAAAGTCAAATGTGATCTTGAACACTACAAACCAAGATGTGAACGCTGTCACGCAAAAAGCAAGCAGTATTTTGCCAATAACTCAATTAAAACAAGAAACAAGCACTTGCATTTTTTAATGTATAATACATAGTCTACATAAAAGTTAAAATGAGTTGGTGAGATAAAAGCAAGGACCAAGGCGTTGTGACTAACGAGGTTATAGTGTATAGAGTGATGATGTGCGCTAATCCTTTACTAATTGTATAGACCATGAACTATACCGAGAGCGTACTGCATATTTGTTTATAAGAAGATAAGAACTATCATCCCCCCATGGTTCTGACACTTTAAAAAAATGCTTTCGTACGAATTGAACAATTTAATGACAAACCATCAATGAGCGAAGCAATAACTTTTCTCTTTGAAGTCGTAGTTATCTATCTATCTAAGTTACTGCAAGTTATCTTAAAGGGACTGTAAGCGAAATGTCAAGAGGCAATCCACGCAAAAATGACAATGCCCGATTTACAATGGTTCAGGTAATTGCTTTATCTGATCAAGTATGAATTAGATATGGTTGTTTTGCTTATTTTAAACTGTTTATTTCATTTGTGGTTGCTACACAACAGTGGTTTGCGCATTTCTTGCTTATTAGAAACAATGGAGAAATAAATACTTTTCGAGTCAGATTTTTTATCAAATTAAGGTTTTTAGGTTATCGCTAGCAGTACATGTAGGATCACTTAAAATTAGGCTTACAGTCCCTTTAACCCTAAATGCTCTAAGACTTTCCAACAAATTAAGAGAATATTAATGAAATCTAAAATAGGTCAACTTTACCTTTCTTACTTCTCCACAGAAAGTAGAAACTGCAATCCCTGGACTTGTAATCATCTCAAAAAACATTGGAGTAAATAGATAGAGTTTGGCTTGTGTAAGGGTTTGTTGGGAATTTCTGTACTACATATTTTTTCGACTTAGACTTGAGATTTTCCTTCATCATTTATAAATATTTGTTTTGAGATAGTTCCTGTCAGCTCCAGGGATATCAACTGACAATCCTTGGTTTCTCAGAGAATCGACCAGCTCCTATAACATCCTATACAGTGTATCCCAATAAACATGGGAATCAAGTGACAAGTTTTATATCGTCTTCGATCCATGACCACAATTATTGCAGTTTTCCATTTTTGTAATTTCAAAATAGACGGAGATATTGGAAAATTTGTACAAATGTTAATTTATGAAATAAATCAAAATTGTCTTAATATCTAATATCTTTGTCATTTTTTAAGACACAAGAAAAATAAAACACCTCGTCAGACGTACAGCCTCGTTTTTATTCTTTCTCTGCCATGCATTCCATACGTATCTCAATTCCCATGTTAATTGGGACACCCTGTACTAGAATCTATTTGAGCAACACACAACACTCTCTGTGCCGCTGGGATACTTAAAGCTTGTATGCTCGGGGATTTGGGGGAATTGTTTCCCCACCCTCATCCCCGGAGTAAGAATAAGTTAAATAGGGTTTACCTCTTGTGTGAGAAGACAGTTTGAATATACAGCATCACAGTTACCAACACTGCTCTTACCAACCTAGCACATAGTTAAATATACAGCATCACAGTTTCCAACACTGCTCTTAACAACCTAGCACATAGTTAAATATACAGCATCACAGTTTTCAACACGGCTCTTACCAATCTAGCACATAGTTCGAATATACAGCATCACAGTTTCCAACACTGCTCTTACCAACCTAGCACATAGTTAAATATACAGCATCACAGTATCCAACACTGCTCTTACCAACCTAACACATAGTTAAATATACAGCATCACAGTATCCAACACGGCTCTTACCAATCTAGCACATAGTTAAATATACAGCATCACAGTTTCCAACACTGCTCTTACCAATCTAGCACATAGTTAAATATACAGCATCACAGTTTCCAACACGGCTCTTACCAATCTAGCACATAGTTAAATATACAGCATCACAGTTTCCAACACGGCTCTTACCAATCTAGCACATAGTTAAATTCAATTTAAAGAACAAGAAATATAGAAATATAAAAATATTTGCATCTGCTATCATCTAATTATTTAAAGAATATTGTTAAAATAAAAATAAAAAATAAAAATATTTTTAAAAAAAGTCTATTTAAAGGGACTGTACAGTGTAAAAAAACCCTACATTTTAAGAGTGTCATGTTTTAAAACACAACTCATTTATATGAAGAGCTATTGATGTGCAACCAAGCACTATTCATATATAAATATAAATATAAATATAAATAAGTGAACAAAAATGTTGAAGAATTTTTAGGAAAAGGATAGGAAAAATTTAGGCTTGGATAAAATTTGTTCCAAAATACTAACATCCTATTCCTTAATATAAAATTCTCTTTTTATTTTATTTTTTTACAATATTAATCATATCAATTGTAGATTTAAGATATTTTATTGTACAATCATTTCATTTCGTAAAGATGAAAGTGTGAAAGTTAAAATAGTTTAAGCATTGTTTTAGAGAAGGGGTCTTAGGCATTCAGGTAGTTGGTATAAAAACCAAGTCTCTGAAGTAAGAAGCATGTCTTTATAGTTAAAGGGAGTGACCGGTAATGTATGGTGGTTGAACTGAGATTGCAGTCTAGTATTGTAGATAATTTTTTTAGAATTCATTTGAGACATATTTAAAACGTTTTAAAGATTAATAATTAATGAGTTTGAGCGTAAAGTCGACGTTCAAAATCATCAATTTGGGTGTGTACGTTTTAATTAATTATTAAATAATGACGAAAAAATGCAACAAAAGTTCTTCAGTAAGTTTAGAAAATAAGAAACTCAATAAAGTGATGAAAATAAAATAATTGATTCTAACATTGATTTATTGTCAAATTCCTTTGGTGAAATATGTTCCTAAAGACCTAATTAGTTCATAATTGAATTTTTACTATATTTTTTGTCGTCGTTATAGAATAGTTAAAAAAACGATTCTCAAAACATACCCACCCAAAGTGATGATTTTGAATGTCGATTTTGCGCTCAGGCTCAGTAATTATAGATCTTAAAAACGTTTTATATGTCTCAAATGAGTCCTAAAAAATGTCTCTACAATACTTCAATTTGCACCATACATTGCCGGTACTCCCTTTAAAAAAGTAAAGGAAAATATTAAACAGCTAAGAGCCTGAGAGTTGAGACTACCCTTTTAAGAGTTCTTGTAAAAATAGAAAAAGGGGCGTTGAGATAGGGTTAACCTGTGTAGCTACTGTAAACTGTACACTAGGTGAACTGTAATTTAAAGGTTGTGTATAGGCTGTTACCATCATTTCTTCATCCCACTCAAGATCTTCTAAAAAGAGGGCTGATTCATTAATCCCAAAATTTTAAATTGCCTACATAAGATATCAAGATCCAGCGTTGAAGATTAACGACAATCCGCCCAAAAGCTGCGAGCCCAAAATGTCCGAATAGGTACAGGGTGTCCCAATAAACATGGGAATTAGATTACGACTTCTATATCGTCTTTGTTCAATGCGGGATTATTTCGTAAACAAATAATTTATCATTTTTTGATATCACAATTAAAACATTTAACACCGAAAAGCACTAGTCTCGGGATTTCCTAAATGTGGTCTACCACTTTTCATCTTCAAAGTTGACGGAAACTTTTCATAATGTTTAATATCTCAGTCAATTTTAAAGATTTATAAAAGGTATACCACATTTTGGAAAGCTCATTAGACTTTTAATCTTTTTTGATGCACTGTATGTCATTTATCAATTATGTAAATCAAAGACGATATTGAAGTTGTCTCTGAATTCCAATGTTTATTGGGTCACCCTGTATTATCCCAAAAGGTATTTTCCGAAGTAACGAATTAAAGTCCATTGTTCAAGGGCTGTTTATATGGACATAATACATATCAGAGTTTCAAAAACAATTTTTTTGGCAGACAAAAAAACATTAAACTATTGTTTCAAAGTTGTAGTGTCCAAAATAAGAGAGGTAGGGAGAAAACTAGTGACAACCGGTACATCTAAAGACCCCCCTTTTCCCCCTTTGGGTCTATGTCAAGTTTTTTAAATTGAATTGTGTGAACTCTGCTTTGATAAAACCTGATTTCTTCCCGGACATTTGACACAGAAATTTTTTTCCACAATCATCGAAATCCAAACTGTTAGCAAACACTTCATATTCTGATATCAGGTCTGCCATCACCTAAACAACAATTAACAATTTCAAAGAATTTAGTTCTGAGAAATCAGGACTGCTTTATCATTCCTAAGTGATCAGTCCTGAGTGATCATTCCTGAGTGATCAGTCCTAAGTGATCATCCTAAGTGATCAGTCCTGAGTGATCATTCCTGAGTGATCAGTCCTAAGTGATCAGTCCTGATGGATTAGTCTTGAGGGATCAGTCCTTGTGATAAGTCCTACGAGTGATCAGTCCTAAGTGGTCATTCCTGAGTGATCAGTTCTGAGTGATCAGTCCTGAGTGATCAGTCCTAATGGATTAGCCTGGAGTGATTAGTCCTGAGTGATCAGTCCTTCGAGTGATCAGGCCTGAAAGATCAGTCCTAAGTGATAAGTCCTGAGTGATCAGTCCTAAGGGATCATTTCTGAGTGAGAGCCAGAGAAGGTGATATTAATTGTTGTTTTACTTTTTCATTTCATATCGTTAATTACCTAAAAATGTACAATTTCTTTTTGTGGAATTTTGTTCCTTTTGTCAAATCTATTTTGTTGTTTTACTTTTGACGTGATTTTTTAACCATTAAAATTAAATTCAAAAATACCTTAATGTTTACGATATCAATCTGCCTTATGGAATCTTATCATTAATCTTGTAGTTACATCTACTACAGTTAAACCCTTAATAAGCCATACATCCAAAGAATTTTTCAAATGTCGTATTCTTCACTTTCTGATATTGGAATGTTGCAGATATTTAGTTTTTTAATTAAATGACTCTATGGAGCTCTTTAAAACTGTTTATGCATATTCATGGCTATTTATTTATTTTCGCAAATACTGAGATTTACGTAATATAGTATAAAACCCATTGAAAAATTGTCAAGACGACATTTGATAAATTCTTTCAATGTATGGCTTATTTAGGGTTTAACTGTATGCAGTACTATAGTAACTAGAAAACATTGAAATGATGTTCCTTTTCTTTTTTGCTTTAAATTCTTTTTAAATGTAACTGATGTTCTCATAAAATGTGTTTTGTCATTTGTATAGACATATAAATCAGCCTGCCTTACATTTCTTGATAAAAACAAAAAAATGTTAAAAATAATGATAAATAATTTTCTATTTACTAAAGTAATCAAAAAAACATTTTACAGATTGTTTCTACAATGCCAAGCATTTTAGAGGTGCATTTAATTCGTTGCAAGTTAGATGTTTATAAGAAATGCCTGTAAATGTCGTCTTTTCCGAATGACAAAATTTAAGCTTTTCATTGCATTTATCAAACCAGTTTGAGTGTCTGCTGTCCACTTTTTATTTCTACTTAAAAAAATTTGAAAAATCTTAAACTTGTTACTTCTTATAAAATACGGGACATTGATCAATGATACATGTCACGTAATTAATTGATATATTTTGTCGTCTTCCACATCTAATGTATCAGAAATTTGTTGCCAATATGCAATGCATATTATTGCCAATATACATTGTATATTATTGTTAATATGTAATATGCATTGTATAGTATTGTCAATATGCATTGTATATTATTGCCAATATGCATTGAATATTATTGTCAATATATGCATTGAATATTATTGTCAATATATGCATTGTATATTATTGTAAACGTGCATTGAATATTATGCATAACTAGTTTAGCATAGAATGAATATTTATTTAATCTTTCAATTAGAAATGTAGCAGTCAAATTTCTAGCTCTTATTCAAAGAATTGATAAAGACGAATTTCATCTCCTTTTTTAATTTTGTAAGCTATTAACAAGCCTCGTTAAATTGTAATTTAAAAAAATTTGAAAAAATATTTTTTATCTTTGATATCGGACGAAATTGGATATTTAATAGTTCATGGTTATAATGATATAATGCAAATATTCAAAAACAACAATTGCCTACCTGTTTATCTCCGAAAGGCCAAGATTTGAGTATTGCCGCTTTTGCCAATTCCCTTCATAAAAGGTTATTATTAGTTGTTTCTACTAAACAAGAAGGCGATAATATCGATACATTGAAGACGAATTTTCTATTTAGTTTTTATTTCAAACTTTCTTTTTTTCATATTAGAAGTTTACAAATAAACCAAGTAAAGCTGTTAATTGACAGCTTCTCTTTGTTTCCATTTTATGTGTAATCATGCTGTTTAAGGGCTTGGTATAAATCAAAATTGTATTGATATATACGACAACGACTGTAAATTTTGCGTCCTGGATTTTCATATGGAATATATTACAGTAAAAACAAAAAGATTCTGACCATAACAAAGGGATTGTAAACATAATTTAAAAAATTACAATTTAAGATTATCAATTTTCAGATAGAAACCCAAAACTGGTCACTTGATACAGACGGAGACACGTGACAATAATGCTTAGGTTTCGGCCATACACCACTTTTCCTTTACAGTCCCTTTAAAGGGTACTGTTCAATTGTGCATCTGCCATGCAGCTCTTACACATACAATGGAGTGGGTCAGTTGAAATTACGTAGACAATCTTTCTTAGTGCATAGTATTAGCAATACAGACAGAACAATAGATGTCGTCTTCTCAATATGTAGGGGTTTTTCGTTCACATAACCTGAGAGGCAGAAGCCCAAAGGAGTTACGCGCCTGCTCTTTCTCTCTATATTGTAATCCAATGCAGCTTGCGCGTAACTCCTTTGGGCATCTACCCAGGTTTATTTTGAACGAAAAACCCCTAAATTTTAAAAGCGTTCTTTCTGTATTGTTATTAATCTATTCTTTAGTGCTGTATGTCTAACCTGATACTATTACTGGCGGAACCCTTCCCATTGCTCCTCATCACCATCATCATCAACAGCAAGAGGACAAGGGAGAATCTCCCCAAGGTCATCTTGAACATACCTCCCAGGAACATCTTGCCCGACCTTATGTTCACACCTTATACAGGGTGTCCCACTTAACATATCAATTAAGAAATGACTTTAGATGTTAAATTAACATTTTATTCTCAACCCTATCTCGGTTGTGTGGGGGAAGGGTGTTTTCCACCCCCCCCCCTGTGTTTTTTTCTAAACAACTCTTAAACGGCTAACATTAGAACGTTAATTCACTTTTTCAACTTTATGGTTGTGAAGAAATTTTGCCAACATTTTTTTTACATAGGGTATGGGAGAGGACGGTCAAACGGCGGGTCGGTGTTTGAAAAAAAATCAGAAATGGTTGATAACTTTTTTATTGACAGTTTCAAATCCTCATTAATTTTTAACTGTAAATAGGCTGCTAGAAGGTAGTTAAGCAACCAACCTAAAATTCCTAAAATTTGTTTTCATGGAATCAGAATGAATCTGAGCAACATTATTAATCTTGCAGATTTTCTACGGTCGTGATGAAACTTCATTAAGAAAATGTCTAAACACTTGATAATTCTTTGTGGTAAATCCTATCTTAGAGTAAATAGATAGTTGTTAGTCCGACATTTCTGTGTGATGTAAAATGGACGTCAGTAGGGGGGTCGATTATCAAAATGTCGTTTTTCAAAACGTTGAATAACAAAACGTTGACTGCTACAAAACGTTGAATAACAAGATGCCAAAATTACAAAAATGTACACCATCAGGTTGAAAAGATATAGGTGTAGCAAAACTTGGGGCCTAATGCAATATACGTTGTAATTTGTTCTCATAGTAACTACGCTAATCCTGTAATGCAATTAACCCATTCCATGTTCGTAGATAGATATAACTTTGTAATACCCATAAATGTGATTTAATTAACCGCTCATAACTTGTAATTACCCTGTAAATAACCCAATTCTAATATGAAATACGAAATACAGATCAGTTGACTAAGACTCTGCTTCTGATTATGTTATCAGACGCCTAAGTAAGATCGGAATAGAGCTTAAGTACTCGTTGAATTATACAATGTGAGAAATTGCCTTTGTAGCAATTTCGGTGGACTGTGTATCCTTTAGAACTGGGAATTGCAGCCTGGTTATATTTGGCCTGTGTGTCATTTAGAACCGGAGTGTTCAGCCTGGTTGATCTGAAAACAGGTGAGACCTGGATAGATACGTTTTGAGTAAATTGTTATGGAGTAGGCGTTTACTACATAGGGATTAGAAAATTTGAGTTTGTGGCAAAGACTCAATTTCTTTGTCCGGGAATTATCCAAAATTTGTTCACAACTATGAAGTTGAAAAAGTGAAGAAGTTTGAGTGTTCTAATAGTTTAAAAGCCGTCTTTTAAGTAAAACGACCCCCCCCCCCCCCCACCCCCATCATGATAGGGTTAAGAAATAGATAGATAGGGCTACCGAACACCGCACTAAACTTAATCTTTTTCGGCATTTAAGCCTTTTCAACGTCGATTATAATATTCAAAAAAGGATTCAGAAATCATAACGTTTTCCATAAATTGAATTATCAACTTCTAAATCCATGTTTTTACTAACTTTAAAAGGGTTTTATCTTTACCTAATCCTGGCTTTAAATTCACATTTTCTAATTTCAACAGATATATATTAGCTAAGATTGTGACAGCACAGTAAATACTAAACTTAGATTGTGGTTCCAGATTCTGCAAACTAATTGTGCAAAAATGGGCGCGCCTTGTATCCTTTGCGGATTTGTAAAATGTACACTCGGGGTTTACAAAATACAATTTACTAACTTTTTATTATCAAAATTAAGATTTTTCGGTTTAAGAAAATAATTTTTTCATTCACCTTAATTGAAAGTTAAATAATTAATGAAATTGTTATGCCTCCCTTGAAATTTAGAGTAATTTTGGTTTTCTATTTTACTAAAAGAAACTTGCATTCTCCAGGGAGCAGAGAAACAAATATTAGACTGACGCGACAACTTTTAGAAGATATTTAACGATTTTAAGATTGCTTGTAGCCTCAAAGGAATTGAGTATTTGCCACAAACTCTCACTTTCTAATCCCCATATCTTTGCCACCCCAACGTCGTAGATTTTACATATTTCCAACTAAATATTTTTATAATTTAACCCTATTCCTGCTGGGGGGGGGGGTCAATTTGACCCCCCTGTAGTTTTTTTTACATAACTCAAAAAGTATTGGTCTGAGGCTGTTGAAATTTTTTGACTTTTCCTACATACCCAAAGCCCTCCCTTTAGGCCTAAAACCAGGCTTTAATACTAACTGCCTTAGTCCTCAGGCACACTGCCTGAATGACTGCTTTTTCCTGTAACAAACTAAATCTTTGTTTTGACCCACTTCCACTTGTCAGATTTTGATAAAATTTAGCTTTTTGGAAAGCCTTTGACATAAGGAAACGAATTGCACAAGTTTTGCGAAAAAAAATTGCAAATTTTTTGCAGATTCTAAAAGTAGAGCACAAGAGCTTTCCAATGATGTATCATTTGTCATATTTGGTCATCAAACATGGGATTTAGAGGGGGGGGGTCAAATTGATCCCCCCCCACCAGCATATCCTGGTTTTCAAGTACCCCAGCAGAGATAGGGTTAAGTTTCAGATATAAAAGGTCTACACCATCAGGTTATTAAGATCCTAAAGAATTTGTCCACAACACTGCACACTCAGTTTAACTACCTTACATAGCCGCGGTCTGTCCCTTTAAGGGTAATTTGAAAAGAAGAAAAAAATTGTAAAAAATTGTGGATTTGTTAACCCGGCATGTTCATGTACTCAATGAATGAACTAAAGTTTTTGTGCGTAAAGTGTCGGAGTAAAGCATGCTTTATTGGAGAACTTGAAATTGAGTTTAAATAAAATATGGACTAAGAGGACTAAGAGTCGTGAACAGGGGTTAGAGGCATGGGAGGATGAGTCATTCGGGATTGAGGGGGGTAGGGATAGGGTAGAGGGGGAAATGGGGGATAGGAGAGAATGATATAGATTGAGGAAATGGTATAGAAGCTACAGGGCTAAATGGGAGAGTTGGAATGGGTTACGAGAAGGGTGAAAATGGGATAGATGGGGAAAATGGGAAAGAGGAGAGGAAATGGGAGAAAAGGGAAAAATCGGAAAGGGGGGATGAGATGTGAGAAAAAGGAGAAATCGGAGAGAAGGGGGAAATCGGAGAGAAGGGGTAATGGGAGAAAGGGGAGGAGAGAAGAGGGAAATGGGAGAGAAGGTAAAAAAAGGGTGTATGTAGAGTTGGAAGGATAAGCTGGGAGGGAGAGGAGATAACTTGTAAGACCAATAGAGGGCGGGGATAAAACGAGGACAAGGAACAATATTATTTTTAAATATTGCAATGAGGGGTACAAAGAAGAATTGGGAGGGAGATGGGGTGCTCAACAATATTTGTTTAAGTCTATAAAAGGAAGAAACGATAAAAAATGGAAAGAAAGGATGAAATCTTAGAAACAGAAAATAAGAGATTGTTAAGAACAGAATTCATAGTTTATAGAAACTTGGTTAAAAAGATATTGGGATGAAAATCAGAGTTTGAAGCATAAACCCTCTGTGGGCGGTTGCCTAGATTTCGACTGACGATGAGCCCCCCCCCTCCCCCTTTTTTTAAAGGGTTAAGCAATCTTTTCAACTAAAGACCGCCGTACAAAAATGCAATGAATGAGAACATGAAGGAAAAGGATAAGACAGATTGGAGGAATGTTGGCTAAATTTGATTGAACTGGGCTTGGCTTGTTAGATCTAATACATGCATCAAGACTGATGCCTGACTGCTTGATTGCTTAATTGTCCGCCGAGGAAAGAAACTTTGATTGATTTGATGTATTATCTTGAGTAACATTTAAGTAGTTGATACACTCGATTAACACTAACAATCTTAAGGTTTTGTTTATGTTAAAATACATATGTAACCGTTGAAAAATAACACAATCCTAAAACGAACACCGAATGAGGAAAAAAAAGATTTTATATTTTTCAGTAGTGATATGCAGTAATGAAAAGTTTTAGAACTTACTGGAAAGCAAAATCGATCATTTTTGACATACATGTTAAAGATCGGACTGAAAACCCGGGGAGTATGGGATGGAATTGAGCCTACAAAGTACGCCTCAGCTCAAGTCAGGGGCAGAGTACATATTGATTTAATTTTTGAAAGAAAAAAAAATTTCGAATTATTTTAGCCTATGCATTTACCCGTGAGGTACTCAAAGGTTCTCTCAAAAAATGTTAGCCCATTCGGTCCAGCCGTTTGGCCAGCTATATGCTAACATAGAGCTTTATCATATAGATATAGTGAGACCCTTCAGACCCTTATTAAGTAAATATGATAGAGAATTCAAATAAATTGCCCTTTATTTTCCATCGTACTGTTAAACCCAAAATGAGCCATACATCGTAAGAATTTATCAAATCTCGTCTTCACAATTTTTCAATAGGTTACTATTGTACGTAAATCTCACTATTTATGAAAATAAATAAATAGCCATGAATATGCGGGAACAGTTTTAAAGAGCTCCATATAATCATTTAACTAAAAAACTAAATATCTGCAATTTACCCTCCCCATCTCCAGTTTACTCTATCTTGTATCCCCCTGCCCCTCTCCAGTTTACCCTATCTTTTATCCCTGCCCCTCTCCAGTTTACCCTATCTTGTATCCCCTCTTGCCTCCTCCAGTTTACCCTATCTTGTATCCCCCCATCTCCAGTTTACCCTATCTTGTATCCCCCCTGCCCCTCTCCAGTTTACCCTATCTTGTATCCCCCCACCCTCTCCAGTTTACCCTATCTTGTATCCCCCCTCCCCATCTCAAGTTTACCCTTTCTTGTATCCCTCCCCATCTCCAGTTTACCCTATCTTGTATCCCCCCGGCCCCTCTCCAGTTTACTCTATCTTGTATCCCCCCCCTGCCCCTCTCCAGTTTACCCTATCTTTTATCCCTGCCCCTCTCCAGTTTACCCTATCTTGTATCCCCTCTTGCCTCCTCCAGTTTACCCTATCTTGTATCCCCCCACCCTCTCCAGTTTACCCTATCTTGTATCCCCCCTGCCCCTCTCCAGTTTACCCTATCTTGTATCCCCCCCTGCCCCTCTCCAGTTTACCCTGCTGTAACCCCCCCCCCTTCTTCAGTTTTCATCCATGTGACGGGTAAATCTCCAGATGTTTCATGTCTAAATGAAAGCGAGACAAATTAAAACTTTTTACAAGAATCAATTAATCTAAACTGGTTTAATACTTGGATTCTGATATTTAGGATGAGTTATGTAGGTATTAAACATTTGCGGTCTTAGATATTTTCCCAAGGGCAACTTCCCAATTGACAACTTACAATTGTGCAATTTCCTACAGGTTAAGTTAGGCCTTTGAAGGCGCCACAGGCTGCATTGGGGGAGGGGGCCGAGCAAAGTGGTTGGGATGGTCTAGGTGGCCGAGCGCTGCGGCTAGGACAAACTTGGGAAGTTGCCACTTGGAAAATTGCACAGTTGGGATTAGCTTCCACCCTTTAAAAAACCCTTTGTGAAAGTACCTCACAGCAACATTTGCATTAATCTGAAAATAGAAAATTAGACGTCACATAAGAAGTTCTAATCTTTTTTTTATAAACTGAAACTGTATTATATTCACATGAAAGTATTAACAAAAGATATTATTTCCGCGACCCTTCAATTCCGATTCACAACGGTATCATTTAAACCTTTATCTGATCAACAATTACGGAGTTATGCATATTATTATTAAGAGCTGAAATTCGAATGTCACACTAGCTGGTATGAATACAATTTTAATTAAGTTTCCTGGCCTCACTTTTCAGTTGTAAAAACAGGATGATTCCGTCATCGATGATAAGGCAAAGGTTTAAAGGATTTGCCAATTTCTGTTGTGCGCATATGCCGGGTAAAATTCTAATATAGAGAGAGGGGGGGATTGAATTTTGTAGATCCAGAAAAATAATTAAATTAGTATTTATTTAAGGTTAGGTTAGGTTAACACACTTTCTGGGCCGAGCGCTGCGGCTAGGACAGGATAGAAGAGCGCTGCGGCTAGGACAGGCTAGGAGGCCAAGCGCTGCGGCCACGGGTTAAGTTTAGTTATGACACTTTCTGGGCCGAGCGCTGCGGCTAGGATAGGCTAGGGGGCCGAGAGCTGCGGCAACATATCTTACATTTAAGACCCCCATCAGCTGCCAGTCTCTACACAGGCATCCCACAGATATTATTTTTCTGGATCTACAAAATTCAATCCCCCTCTCTCTGTTTTGGAATTTTGGAATATGGGCACAAAAGAAAATGGCAAATGCCAAGGTTTGAAGGGTACTGTTGTGCTCAATTGTTCACTTATCATAATCAAAATAACTGTGACAATTTTTTCTTAAAATTCAAGACAATCTAGAGAGATGGATTAAAAAATGAAAGCTGTATAAAAACTGGGTTTCGAGGGTTAAGAGATCCTGGTAGACAGCTTATACACGCCTAGCTAATAGTGCTAAAGGCCAATATGGGGTCATGGAATGTAGATGTACGGCACTTTCATGCATATGTACTTGAAATGTAAACAATAAATCCTTAAAGTACTGCAGCCTGCTGTTTCATAAATCAGTTTATAGTCCTGTATAATGTATATACTCGNATCTTGTAATGAAACATTATGTAAATGTTTAGGAAGGTATTTTTAAATTTGTTAAAGTCAATCTTGTAATGAAACATTATGTAAATGTTTAGGAAGGTATTTTTAAATTTGTTAAAGTCAATCTTGTAATGAAACATTATGTAAATGTTTAGGAAGGTATTTTTAAATTTGTTAAAGTCAATCTTGTAATGAAACATTATGTAAATGTTTAGGAAGGTATTTTTAAATTTGTTAAAGTCAATCTTGTAATGAAACATTATGTAAATGTTTAGGAAGGTATTTTTAAATTTGTTAAAGTCAATCTTGTAATGAAACATTATGTAAATGTTTAGGAAGGTATTTTTAAATTTGTTAAAGTCAATCTTGTAATGAAACATTATGTAAATGTTTAGGAAGGTATTTTTAAATTTGTTAAAGTCAATCTTGTAATGAAACATTATGTAAATGTTTAGGAAGGTATTTTTAAATTTGTTAAAGTCAATCTTGTAATGAAACATTATGTAAATGTTTAGGAAGGTATTTTTAAATTTGTTAAAGTCAATCTTGTAATGAAACATTATGTAAATGTTTAGGAAGGTATTTTTAAATTTGTTAAAGTCAATCTTGTAATGAAACATTATGTAAATGTTTAGGAAGGTATTTTTAAATTTGTTAAAGTCAATCTTGTAATGAAACATTATGTATATGTTTAGGAAGGTATTTTTATATTTGTTAACACTTCGTTTCTAAAATATAACTGTGAACACGCTTTTAAAGGAATTGAGTCTTTGTCATAAAAATCTGATCATCTAACCAGCCAAATCAATGATGTAGACCTTAAATATTTCAATTTCTATGAATTTTGTTAGATCAAATAAACTAAGTTTAAAATATCAAAGGTTTATACCATTAGGTCACAAAGATATAGGGATTAGAAAAGTTGAGTTTGTGGCAAAGCCTCCATTTCTTATTAATCAATTCTGTAGATTTGTATCTATAAAAATCATTTAACCTTCAAACTATTCCTATCTTTCTACACAATCTTTGTAAAAATTCTTTAAATCAAGCTGCAAAATCTTATTTATTTATTAAACTTAATGTACAGTAAAATTTTTCTTAATTTCTATATCTAAGTATTATTAGTCAATATCACATTTAGAGTTATAAGAAACATCCATGATGTATATAATGTATATAAAATTATAAACAATATTATAGAATTTAAAACAGAATCAAATCTGTTAACAATCACGTAAGCTATTGGGGACAGTGGACATCTATTTGATCAAATTTGCGTCTCTCAGAGCATGACCCATTACATCCATTTCAAATATAGATTCTTGAATATCCATGACAAACTTGTACTGGTCATGCTCGCTGGATGCGGCCAGGGTTGCCAGCACAGCACTGTCACCCTTTCTGGAGATCTGAATACCGTATTTATAAACAGAGGTTCGGAAGAGTGTGACCTCGAGGCCGGAAAGATGAAATGAGTCCTTGTAGGAGTAAACAGCACTACTCCCAGCCTTCCCAGACACCTTTGTCACCAGCATCATGTCGTTAAACAGCCAGATATCCCTGTAATGGTTGTTGGCATCAGCCTCCTTCTTTGTGTTGATGTCCACAACCTCGGCCAGTCTACAGAGACAGACGAGACGACGGTGTGGCTCTGCTAGATGTGGAACCTTTCCGGATATCCTTGTTCGTAACAATGCTGCCTGCATCACATGATCTACTCCGCTTCTGAGCTCTTGCTTCTTTATTGCCTTGTAGATGGACTTGAGGAGCTTGTGGTCAAAGTCTATTCCGCTGTCGGAACCTTTTAGGTTGTTGATAAAATCTTTTTCAGTCATTTTCTTCTCTGTTTTCAGGTTTGGTGTGTGAAGGTCCGTGCTCAGAAGCATGATTGCAAATGACAGAGTTACGACTGAATCTGTATTTTTTAACTTGGAAGAAAAAACCTGATTTCCCTTCAAATACCGTTTTCCAAAAACTTCCATTATTTTTTCTATCTTCTGAGCCTCTCCAGGAATCTGAACTGAATGGATAAATTTTCTCAATGCCTTGTCTATCCTTAATTTGGAGAAATCAAAATTCTCCATAAAGCATTCAAGAACCTTCATTGAGAAAGCATTGGTGACCTGACCAAGATACTCTCCGATCATGGATCTTGCGAGATCTTGTGTTGAATGAAGAAACCTGGCCACTGCTACGGGAGATAGTTCAATAAATCCCTGTTTTACCATAAAATCTAACCCAATATCAGGTTGAGTATTGAACAGGTTTAATCCAACTCGAAATTGTCTTTTTCTCTCCACCTCGATCATTAAATCCCTAAATTCTGTGATAGATTTAGAGCTGGGGGTCCGGGGTTTAGGTGGGGTGGGGGTCTTGCTCCCCCGGCTAGATATATTCTCAGTACTACCCTTGCTAGATTCTATCTGAGCGTATATAGCTGAAACCGAGTCAATAGAAGCATTCTCCAGGTTTCTAATATTTTTGTTAAAATGGTTTCCAGTCATTGCAAGGTACGGAGACATAGCCGACTCAACCGTACCCTTACCTCCTTGTCGCTGTACAGCACTGTACAGTAGGTTCATGTACGGACTATCAGGACTGGAAGGGGAGAAGACGGGATGCATCTTTACATATTCTCCTGAATGACTCGTCATGCTAGTGTTGACACTGTTCCCTCCACTGTAGACACTGTTGGTGTCCCTGTCACAGTTCTGGGACACAGATCTATGCTCCGGGGACCCTGATATACTGTAGTTGGGCCAAGTGAATACATGCTCTGAGGAGGGGGTCAAGGGAGACAGGGGTAGTTCCGGATCCGAGGGAAGAGATGAACCACCGCTATCACTGGATCCGGTTGACATGAGAGAGCTCCGGAAAGGTTTGGGACGGGAGTAGATTGAGTTCTCCGAATCATTGCTCAAGTTTAGATTCTTCGGTCTCATCATGTCTGAAAGTCTGGAGGAGGTTCGTTTTGGTGGAAGAGGAGGAAGGGGTAGGTTTGGAGGTTTAGCCCATTCCAGCTTTCTGGTTACACCTGGAGTTCTGGAAGATATAAGTTCATGTCCCAGTCCTGACTCCAGGACAGCATGGGACTGTACAGGTGGGGGTGGGGGAGGAATCTCTCCAAGTATTGAACCTGTATCCAGGTTATCTAGTTCCTCTGCACTGCTATGTAGAGGATAAACTGCTGGCATTTTTACTCCAGTTAGTTTGGGAGCATTGGGTAAAGGTATATTTAGATTTCTCATTGCTTTATACATTGTTTCAAGCTCTGCAATCCCTGCTGGAACATGTTGATGAGATCCTTGTACTTGGGACTGCTGGTGGACCTGACTAGAGAAGGAAAGCCGACGAACAGGAGTCTCCGGGTTGGGAAGAGGACGGGATTGCCAGGATACTCCTGAACCCTGAGCTGGAGCTGATAGATGAAACCCGGCAGACAGTGCCTTGGCCTCTTGTTGACAATGTCCACAGTTTGTGCAGGAATCCTTCTTAATTAATTTAGGGTTCCTGGGTAGTGTTCCATGACTGAATGCAGCTCTCTGGAACCCGGAAGCAGGAGACCTGTTTCCACTGTACAGATCTGTAATTGCTGTACTTGTACTGCTACCGGAGCCCCGGCTTAAACCTGTGAGAGTAGAGTTGAATGAATCTGATCTAAGCCGATGATACTTCGAGTTATCGAACCCAGGTCGACAGATTTCCTCATAGTTATCGTTTAGTTTCATGTCTCTGCAGAGGGTCTTGTAGGAGTCGGCCATCAGGGCCTCGACAGAGTTCTCCTGTGTCTCTATATATGTTCTCCATCTATCCTGTAAGCTGGGTCCCATCTTGTGAATATGTCCAGGGCTTCTGGGAAGCAGAACACCCTCCATCCTTAAAAAATATATATTTTATTCTAATTTAGTTTTTAACATTTCAAAATAAAAGTATTTAACAAAAAATTTCAGAATTAATTGACTTCATAAATATGGAAAAATATTACTTTAGTTGATGATTATCATATTTACTGACTGAACTGAATTGAGTCATTGCCACAAACCCAAACTTACTAATCCCTATATCTTTGCAACCTAACTGTGTAAATCTTTAACATTTCAAACTTAGATTATTTGATGTAACAGAATTCATAGTTGAAAATATCTAAGGTCTACGCCACAGGGTTGAAAAGATAGAAGGATTTGAAAATCAGAGTTTGTGGCAAATATTCAATTTCTTGGATAAAAAGCAAATTATGTGTATAGAAGTTTAAGGTTGTATCTAGAAATTGATATACTTGCATCTTGCATAGTGCATTGATAAGGAATATTCCTGGAAGTGTTTTTAACTCTTCAAAACCCGATTTTGAAACTTTTAAATTTTGGACGCAAAACAGTGTTTGTTCACATGGCTGTTTCAGCTTAAAGAGATTTTTGTTTAGTTTACATGCATACTTAAATATTCTCATAAACAAGTTTAATAGTGCTTATATATATCAACCAAGAAATAAGTACATTTAAAAATTAAAACATTTACAACTCTTCAAATAAAAAAAAAGAAGAAAAAGTGTTAACAATTAAATCTTTTCAAATCACCTTTGAATATTTTACGTTGGAAATTTATAAATCTGTCTAATATGAATCACAACACACGACACTGATATGTCCTTCTCGTTCGAAAGTTCAGCTACTACTGACTAAATAAATCCGCTCCGCAAGAAGGGACGGGACGGGCCTGGAGCCTGGTCCGCTACAAGAGGTTTAATCCAACTCGAAATTGTCTTTTTCTCTCCACCTCGATCATTAAATCCCTAAATTCTGTGATATGATATAAGTTAAAGAGAAAAAACGCAGGGTTGGTTGTGCCCCCCCCCCCCCTCCCAATTATGATAGGGTTTAAGGCACTGAGCCTTTCAAGATTTCAATTGATAAAATTCTCATAAAAACGTCAAAACTTAATTCTATTCAATTTAATTCGATTAAAAAAAAAATTGCATTGGAGTTGTTTAGTTTTTGTTTTGTTGTAGATATCCCTGATCTTTGAAGATAATCAAAATAATATTAAGTTGTAAACTTTTAACTTTTTCTTCCATTGTTTCCATTTTCCTACGACCCTGTGAATACGTGGTAATTAACCCAATATTTAATATATTCAATAAATCCAAGTTTGGTCAGGTGCAGGGGCGAAAAGATATATCAAGTTTCGAGATTTGTTACTATATTTTTAAAAAAAAGCTTATTGTGAAATAATACCTTATAGATATTCTTAGCAAAAGTTACTTTAAGAAAATATCTCACAAGTTTTAAAATCTTCTGCAGGCTTTATTATTTAATGATCATTTACACACACTAGTAAATTATGCAGGAACGATATCTGGGTATCAAAAAAGGAATTGATATTGTCGTCGTTTTTCATTGATAAATTATGTCATTTCATTCCTTTGTCCTGCACCATAAATCCATAAATAACTTTTATAGAGCTTACACAAGTGAAAATTATCAGTCAGTAGTTATCTTAACCTTCTTTTCGCTGAGCCGAAGGTTAAAAGGGTGCCGTTGTGAATCGGAAATGCCTCTATTTAGGCGGAGGGTCATTTGAAAATAAAGTCAACAGTCCCTTTTATTGTATGATTAAGGAATTAAATTGTACAAGGCAAATTAACGTCTTTCTTTATCATAATACCAACATCTGGATATTTATTCTGAAATAAAATCACACAACCTCTTACTCTTTATAATTTTTAAATAAACAACTTTTACCGCACTTAGACCAATATTACCAACCCATAATTCAACCAACAGCGGGATATTAGGTTACTTAACTGTCCCTTGGGACAATTTAGTGAAATAGCTTTGTCAATTTTTCGTAAAAATATTTGCGTGTTTTTATCTTTTCGGTAAATTAAAAAGTTTACTTAACTACGGGTTCCCTCGACCATTTTTGTGTTAATTTTGTAAATAATCATTCATTCAGGAGCATTTCCCAAATATTTTTACAAAAGTATGCTCACCAATTCTAAAATCGTTTAACGTCAAAATGTAAATATTTTTACCCTGAAACAATACAGGAAGTGAAACGTCCGGGGGCGAGTCAAAATTCATTCAATTCTCGGCAAAATAAACTAAATTTGATGAATCTACTTAGCGAGATAGATAGATAAATGCCCATGTATAGGATTTTAGGGATGGTCACCTTCCAAACAATTTGAGAAATAGTTTATTTCTAATTTACTGCCCCGCAGCTCGGACAGGTTCATGGTTGAATCATGTTCAGCAAAAAAATATTAAGTTATTTAAAAAAAAGAATAAATAAAATCGCAATTCTTGAAAATTGTAGAAATTTGTTAAAGTCAATCTTGTAATGAAACATTATGTAAATGTTTAGGAAGGTATTTTTAAATTTGTTAAAGTCAATCTTGTAATGAAACATTATTAATCTCCATACAGAATCTTATTGTTCCAGAAGTCTAGTATAAAAATATACTAGTTTATCTCGACTTTCAAGCGTGATTAAAGATATATTAAAAATATGATAAATGATTTTCAGGACTTCAAATTTGTTCTCTTTTTTCACCCCTGGTTTAGATCAGTGGCGCGTAAATACAAACAAGTCGATATAAATAAACTCTAAATCACCAACTTTTGGCTGTCCAACCGTCTAACTGATTAGTTATCTAGCTCTCAAACTTATTATTTTATACTTCCTATTTTTAATTTATTTTTATAACTGTGATCACAGATATGTGCACAGTCATAAAAAATATTAAGACAGTGTTGACTTTGGTCAGTCATTTTATACTTTTTTTTCAAAAGCTGCAAAGCACTTTTGGCGTGAATCTTGAAGGAGTATTTCGCAAAATTCTGATAGAGTTTCGCGTCAACATAATCATAATATATATAGTTTATAGTTTAACATTTTTTATTCTTTATTTTCTATTGTATTAGTGAGAAAAAATTACGCAATCTTAAAAAAATTTTGATTTTTAATCACAATTATTATACAGTTCCTTTAAGTTGCTTACTCCGGCACTATGACTGTACGACGTATGCTGATGGATGACCTATGTTTATGTATTTCTAAAGATAATTACTTTAAACAATACACACCAACTTGTATATATAAATACTTTAATATTTGTATATATTATACTAATATGCATAGATACATTGTGGCTCATCGTGGCTAATCAATACTTCCTCCTAAAACAAAAATAATATATTAATTCTATATGTAGATATGATTTTATTGACTTTTACTTTAAAACTTCTTAAACAATTCCAATTTACATTTACAAAACCTAGTTCTTCATCTTCTACAAATCTAAAACTTCTTCATATACAATACATTTAATTTACTTCTTCATATTTAATACATCTATATTTTTCTTCATATATATGTAAATATATATTCATAAAACTTTTAATATATTATTATATACTTGAAATTACAAACTTCTCCATCTATATTTATACAATCATAATTTGCTTCATAAATACATATACAATTACATATATTCCAATACANCCCCCCCCTCCGACATATGTATTGTTAACCCTTTCCAATATATTTTCATTTAGTTTTTGTATCAAAACTTGTTACCAGTTTTTCCATGAATATATTCAGTGTTCACTGTTGGTAAATTTATATGCAGCTTTTTGCACATATTATTTTGCATATTGTGCGATTTTCTTGCCTTGATTCAAACTGACCTATGCGCGAATATCGGCTTTTATTTGTATGACCATTTTCGATTCGTTTTCGGATACATCCGTACAAGCACGGTGTTTGTAAAAATTTCTTAAGAAATGTTTTATTCCCAAATAAGATAAATTAACCCCCCCCCCTCCATAATTTTTAACCCTTATGATGTATCCTAAATATGGGGTTGAGTTCGGTTTGATTTCCACATTTTACTTATTTGCGTCCTGGCAAACTTTACAAAATAAAGGCTTTCTCTCTTTTAGCATTCCCTGTTTAACATCACATTGCTTTTGAAAAGTTGCGTTCATTTTCAAGACAGGGTTGACTTTGAAGTGTCGCAACGCCGTGGACTCTGATTTAACCAATATAACTCGCCAATGCTTTTTTGTCCTAAACATTGATTTTTAAAAAGTAATTGGCAAATTCTCATAGATTTTTGCTTGAGAGCTTGCAACCTTTAAATCAAAGGAACATGCTTATTCACTTAATCTCAGCTAAATACATTTAGACTGCAGTCCTGTCACTTACATTTTTCTACGGGGATTAAACAATAAATCTGTAAATTTAAACCAATCATGAATCGATATGAAAACCAATCCGAAACCTGGAGAAACCTAACCTAAATCAGGGGAAACCTAACCTAAACCAAGGGAAACCTAACCAAATTTAGGGGAAACCTAACCTAAACTAGGGGAAACCTAACCTAAACCAGGGGAAACCTAACCTAAACTAGGGGAAACCTAACCTAAACTAGGGGAAGCCTAACCTAAACTAGGGGAAGCCTAACCTATACCTTTATGAAACCTAACCTAAACTAGGGGAAACCTAACCTAAACCAGGAGGATGCCTATCCTAAACCAGGGGAAACCTAACCTAAACCTAAAGGAAACCTAACCTAAACCAGAAGAAAACCCATCCTAAATCAGGAGGAAATCTATCCTAAACCAGAAGGAAACCCATCCTCAACCAGGAGGAAACCCATTCTAAACCAGGAGGAAACCCATCCTAAACCAGAAGGAAACCCATCCTAAACCAGGAGGAAACCCATCCTAAACCAGGAGGAAACCCATCCTTAACCAGGAGGAAGCCCATCCTAAACCAGAAGAAAACCCATCCTAAACCAGGAGGAAATCTATCCTAAACCGGGAGGAAACCCATCCTCAACCAGGAGGAAATCTATCCTAAACCGGGACGAAACCCATCCTCAACCAGGAGGAAATCTATCCTAAACCGGGAGGAAACCCATCCTAAACCAGGAGGAAATCTATCCTAAACCGGGAGGAAACCCATCCTAAACCAGTAGGAAACCCATCCTAAACCAGGAGAAAACCCATCCTAAACCAGGAGAAAATCTATGTAAAATCTGGAGGAACCCTATTCTAAATCAGGAAAAAACCATCATAAACTTGGAGGGAAAAAACGCTAAAAGGAGCCCAACAAATGAAAAAAAAATTTTGTCGTATATTGAATTTAAAATCAAGAATGCTTTTTTATATTAATTTGAGTGAAAACCAATAAAATGTTAAAATTAATCGGATAAAGGTTTAAAAGGTAACGTTATAAATCGTACATGCCACTAAAATTGAAATTACACATACATCCCCTTTAATCTATCTATCTTCTTCTCTCTATTTCGTCGTCTATCTGAGCGTCTATTTAGCTGTCTGTTTAGAGGTCATAATTTAGGGTCTAGTTTTCGCAACAGTGCTTTAAGTAGACCACAATCAAATTTGAAAAGAATAGATTAAAAACTTGACACAAAGAATTTAGATTTATCAACTCTTTCTACTGTCAACCCCCCCCCCTAACCCTCTCTCTGAATTGAACCCTCCCTCTTTTCTATGAAAAAAGAAACGGTTCTTTTCATTTTATAGAAAACAAGATATTAATTGAAAAAACATAGTTTTTTATAATTATGATTGTGTTTTGATTTTCCTTAAGTTTTGTTCCCCAAAAGTTGTTTAGAATTTTTTTTCTTTTACAAATGTATTACAGGACAAAA